AAAATAAAAACCATTTATCCAAGCCTCTTATGAAAGGCTAGATAGTGGATATTGATGTTTCTGATAGATGAAATGCTCCCAAACCAGCTCATCCTAATATGACTCATCAAGAGTGAGGCTTTATACAAACAAAAAGTTCCCTCAAGATTTAAACTTTCAACTGGATGATTAACTGATAAATCTAAAAATCCAGATTCTCAATTGAGACTGACTCCATACGGTCAAATTAATGAAGCAACAATTTCCTTAGGTGACTAGGAACATTACACTAGCATTTTGACAAAAATGCACTGGTGAAAGTAGTGATGCCTTTTCCATTATTCATTTAAACATTTTCACTAGCACTTGTTTTTTAGGAACTGCAGATAAAAGAAACATACCCCTACTTGGAGAATTAAAAGATGGTGTTCAAGAGAGCCGTACTCAAAACAATGAATTTACTTGTCTCATTAGTGTTCTGCAAATCCTTCTGTCTTTCCTATTTTTATCCATGTTGGCTACAAAGTCTTGACAGAATGCATAAATACCCAGATGGATATTAATATGTTCAGTGAGATCAAGTATGTGAACAGCTGGCATTTTTTGTTTTGTTTGTGTTTGTTTCTTTTTTTGTTTGATGCTTTTCATATCTTAAAGATATCAAAAGGTTATCTCTGGTAGTATTACAGGCCAGCAAGTTATCTAAGTTTGAGATCAAGGTCTCAGTGAAGAATATTTTGACCTTTCTGTGTTTTGTTTTGTTCTGTTAAAAAAAAAAAAAAAGGATTGTGTTGATTAAGTTCCCTGTGTCCAGAAAGAAGTGGTGATGCATAAAATCGATGTATCATTCCTAAATGAAGACTAAGTTAAATATAATTTTTATATATAAAGATATCATTAGAAGGTAGGTTTATAGGTATCCACAGCTTCTCTTGGCAGCCTGTGCCAGGGCCTCACTGCCCTCTGAGTGAAGAATTTCTTCCTAAGATCTAACCCAGATCTCCCTTCTGTTAGTTTAAAGCCATTTTCCTTTGTCCTATCACTATCAGAGCATGTAAAATTTTGCTCTCCTTCCCATCTGTAAGCTCCCTTCATGTACTGGAAGGCTTCAATGAGATCTCTCCAAATCTTCTCTTGTCCAAGTTGTTTAAGCCAATTCTCTCAGTCTGTCTTTGTAGGAGAGGTACTCCAGTCTGCTGATCATCTTCATGATCATCATCTTAAACATAAATTACATCAAAATCTAAGCTTGCTTTGGAGTTTTTCATATAAACTGTAGATTTCAAATTCATTTTAGATGGCAGACAAAGTAGTTGTTGATCACAATTAAGGTATTTTTAGTATGCTCATAGTTAGTATCTCTGGCTTCTTTGAGAGTATTGCAATTCTGATTGTGCCCTGTGGGAATCTACATGCAAAGCCAAATTAGTAAAAGCCATACATGCTAGCCAAACAACTAGCACGGCCTGTCACATTTGAGCTGTCTTTAAAATATTTTCTTCAATAAAGTCAGAGAAAGTGAGGGATAAATTTGTATGTGTGATTCAACTTGAAGTAATCACAAACTTAAGACATAGAGCTACCCTGTTTGTTCCAATTCTCATCATGACAGTGCTTTAGTGAGTGAAGGAAAACTGAAATTCTTTAATAGAGATGTATTTGGCAGAGATGAATGTATAGGGAGATAGAATGTATAGGGATATAGAGATGAATATATCTGAATATATTAGGAATATATGTGTTTGCCTGATGTTTTAGACCTTCCAACCTAAATATCCCTTAACTGAGCCAGAATGTTGAGTGAAGACTTAACCTCTGAATATACAGCCACAAGCATATTTCAGTAGGATTACCTGTGGAAAACTTTCATTTCAGCATGCTCTGTGATAGGGAAGGGGAGATCCCCCAGCGATGTTTCAGTTGCATTTGGGCTTCTAACAGTTAAGGTGCTAAAGCACTTATCAGGGAACGGCCAATATGCTCCTAATTTACAGTCTGCCTTGTTTTCTTGTGATTTCTTTTTTATGTCCATAATCAACATTATCAAATTAAAATAAATATAGAAGGATAGAGGGAGAACAAGGAATGCATACTAAATAAGGTCTATCGTAACTCATAACAAGGTTGTAATGTGAAGAACTGTTACCATATTCTGCCATAGTCATTGCAGCTGCTTAGAGATCAGTATAAGACAGATAGAAGTAGATATACTTTTGCACAGCAGGTAGGGAATTTTTTTTTTAATTTATTGCCACAGAAGGCTGGGTTGACAGACAGCATAAGCAGATTCAGAAAGAAGTTAGAGAAATTCGTGGGCAACAGTCTAAATACTGCATAGATACTAAAGAGAGCAAGAGATGCACCATCCAGCACCCCTGATGGGGTGACTGCTGATGCCAGAGGAGCTTAGAGGGAATGGGCTACAGGCAGTCACCACACTCCCTTGCTTTCCCTAGGCAGCCACTCTAGTTGTTGCTGTCAGTAGCAGCACACTGGCCTGGGTGCTTGAGCACGTCTCATCTTCTTAACTCACTTCTGCCTGACTAATGAATTGTTTAGACCAGAGTGTCTCAAAGCTTCCCAGCAGCAAAGGCAAGATTTAATTTCGTGGCTGTGACAGCATTTCTGCTTTAGGCACCATCCTCCTGGAGAGTGGCGAGATGGAGTGAGGGCTGTGCCCAGCCACCGTGACGTGCTGACCATGGGCTGGCTGCCCAGGGATGGCTCTGCTGCTGCTGCTGAGCCAAAGGGGCTGGCTCTGTTAATTAACAGCTTCCCCACCGCTGCCAGAGTATGTACATCTGCTGCTCTAACTACTCTGTGTAGGACTGCAATTGGTATATTAAGATGTAACAAAGCTCTCTGAATAATTTGGATCTAAGGATCCTTTTCCTAGTTATTTGTTATCCTATGGGTTTTACCCTAGGACATGCCATCTAAGTTCAATTTAATTCTAAGTTTCTTATATTTCAGCTACGCAGTGGTTGCTTTAACAGGCCACTTACGAAGGTGATGTCTTACATTATAGCAGAAAAATTCCAGAATTTCCACTCTTGGGATTGCAGATTCACAGTACATGGGGAACAATGAGGAGTTTTCTTGAAAAATTGAACACATCCACCTTAGTGAATCAAAGCTAATCACACTGTAATAATGTGGGACAGTTCTTCTGCAACATTGTGGACATCTAGATTCCTTGCTAGTGTTAAGCAGAAAGGAGGCGTGTATCTTGTGTGCATGTGCATTTAGACTCAATGCTTGAAAGCACATTAAGAAGCACATATGACAAATTTACAGATAGGTAAGGCCCTTTACACCAATAATTTCTTAATCTTTGGTTTAAAATTCCATGAGTGTTGTGATATTCCCTGACTAGGGAACTGTTTGTCCCTCTGTACTTAGCACTGGTGAGACCATTCCTTTTCAAGAGAAATAAAATGTTGAGTGTTCCTACCAAATAGAAAATAAAGAAAATAGAAAATAAGATGCACAGCGGCAAGTTCCCTTCAGAAACCTTCACTTTGTTTATATGTTGTATTATTTAAAATATACTTATGTAGCTGGAGACATTAGAACTATTCTTCTGTGTGTAAGGCCACATTTTAAGAAAACATCTCTGCTTTGGTGTTTAGATTTAATTCTTAACACTCATATTTAATAATTAAATTAAGCAAATTAAGTATTTCTTCAGTAATATTAGCAGCTAACAAGACATTTGCTGACTTTATGAAAGAATTTTACATTTTATTATTTAGTCATAAAATTGAATACTTTTATAAGGAAAATATTGTGTTAGATTCTGCTACCATATAAGTTGCAAGTCTAGAACTGCAGTTGACTGAAGCTGCTGAAGTAGTGGACCCTAAAGAAAGGAACTGGCACTTGGGTTAAAAAGTACAAAGCTACCAGGTAGAAATAAATAAATATGAGTCTTCAGGCTGTGAATATATTGCTTTAATGACTAGTGTCTAAGGAGTTGAGATGCTTTATTTATCTAGGCCGAAATGGGATTCAGTAAGCCAGCTTTCTATTCCTAATAATGGACCAATATTTTTTTATTTTCTTCATGTAAATTTGAGAGTGGATTTTGTCACATACAGGTAAGGACAGCTTACAAACAATCAATACTTACTGCTGTCTGTTAGGCAAATCTCTTGGGCTGCAGAGCTTCTTGGAAGTTTTTGGGAAAGAGTTAAGTATCTAATGTCAGTGGAAGATCTAGGGGAATCTATAAATATGATCGATTCCCTTCTCTACTGTGTCCTTAACTTGGCTGGTGGTTATCAGTGCTTTGCCTCTGGTCTGATTTGGGGTGACCAGTTACAAGAGTTACAAAGAGATTTCACTGAAGGGAAATGCAGGATTTTAATTCAAATCTTACATTGCTTGTGATAATGTTTGTAACAAGCAATTATGCAATGGAAGGGTGCAGGATGGGTGAAGAAAGGAGTGGGCTTTGTCAAAGTACAGCAACAGAAACCAATTTAGATTGTATGTAAGATGTGCTACTTTATGACTGATATGCCTGCTTCAGAAAAAACACTCAGTACATTCAAGTACACTAGTGAATGTGAATAGTCTAAATAATTTAAGAATCCATTTGCAAACCACTTATATCTACCTCAGCCTGCTCACAGGACTTCTGATGCCTGTCAGCTGCACAGGACCACACTGCTCATGACACAGAAATGTTGCTTGCCAAATGTCTTGCTGAACTGTGTGCCCTGAAACCTCACAAGTGCTTTTAAAAAAATTGTTATTTTTTTATTTATTGGGGGAATTTTCCAATACTGTTCTGTTTCCCTTTTTGTTCCTCTTCCTTTCCTGCCTGTTCCTTCCCTTTGGTTAGTAGTTTCCATCTGGTGGGTAGGTTGTAATAAGTTCTCACTATATCCAGTAACTCAAATTATAATTAGGTATTCTTTAGTGGCAGGGTATTGCCCATTAGTCACTGTTTCTAATATGCATTGTGTATACACACTTCACATATCTGAATAAAAGTCTCACCTCGGACCCAACAGGCCAGAACCAGTATTGTGGACAAAGGATGGTGGAGAACTACCAGATCCAGAGCGAATGGTTGTCAACGGCAGAGTCCTCAGCATCAGTTTCCTAAACAAAACAGACAATGGCACATATCGATGTGAAGCAAAAAACCCAATTGGCCGAAACAGCACAGAATATGTTCTGATAGTACATGGTAAGTGCATTCTCTTTAGCTCTTTGGTGCATGTTAGACATTTGTAGTGTTTGAGGAAAATTGGTTGCTTAGGATCATTAATGCAAGAATATCAGCAAAAAAGCTAAAAGCATAATTGCACTTCTATTGACATTATCCTCTAGTTATAGTGTGTGTTTTTATTTCCATCTACCAGATGCCTCTCTTTGTAAAGTTTAAACAAAATGTATTCATTAATGTAAGCATCTGTAAAAATATTTTGCAGTATGTTGGGTACTGTTATGTTAAAAACTTGCTTCACACATAATGTATAGCTAAGGTGGTTACAGAAATACATATGAAGGGAAAACTGGAAATACAAGGCAAAATGCACAAGTTACGGCTTGCTACTGCTTATCATCATCAGCATCTGACTTATTTTTGTAATCAATCCTCAAAAATATGTTCTGTACTAAATTCACAATCCATCTTCCAATGAAACTGATAAATCACAAGGCTCCCATTAAATTACAATTTATTTATTTTCATTGTTTAATTAGGCAACAGTATGTGTCATGTTAAAAACCAGTCGGCTTTTATATTAATCCCAAAATAGTTTGATATAACTCAGTTATAGGAGAAACTATAATAAAATGTTAGTATTTAACTTTAGTACGGCTTTACAGAGCAAATCTAGCAGTCTCAAAGTATAAAGTTTGTTTTATCACAGATATATACATATTAATTCCTAGAAAATGTTTGAATTTTAACCTAAGTGAATAAAGAGGTGAAAGCTCCGCTATACTTTACCACGGTACTATTTCCCCCTACTTTTTACATGAAAGCAACTTTTTTTAGGCCTTGGATAAAGTAATGTCTTCCTTGCTTACCAAATAACAGAAATTTCTATCGTTTGTGTTTTGTACTCAATTTATTTATATGATAATTTTTGAAAACATAGTGTTTGGCAGTAGTAGATTTTCCATCAGTGCTGACTTTGCAGTATACCCTCATCAAAGACTATTTTGCAATCTCCTATATTTCTTTCATGTAGTGGTATGCCCCCTGTTGATCTGATTATCTTGCAACAATTTCATGGCAATCTGTAAAGTTATTCATTACGAGGAAGGCATTCTGTTGTGTGGCAACACATTAGGCATGTTATCAGGTTTAGCTTGAACACTGCTGACCTTTTCTGTTATGAGTACTGTCGTTTTCCTAATTGCGTTTCTTGAATTCTGGTGTTAAAACTGAAGAAGATAAATGTCAGGTGCTTCCTAGATTACTGTAACAATGAAAGTGGTGTGACAGAGTATGTGCTGGTGTTTAGTGCTTAACAACTTACTGCATTTCTGAGTTTTTTATGTTCATTTTAAATATGGAAGAGACTGACATAATTATTTTATGAATTGTACTACAATTGGTTGTATAGATCAATTTAGACAGTGTCTTATCCTTTCTTTAGTTCATTGGATTCCTCAGTGTCCCTAGTGGAACCTAATCCTCTCAGAGCAATTCATTATTATCATTCTTGTTCTCTCTTCTTCTGTCTCTTTTTTTCTGCTAGCAAAACTACCTTTTAGCTTTCTCTGAGATGCATTCTTCTTTTTAATAGAGGATATATTTTCTCTGTATCTTCCAAAATGTATCTTGGAGCATCCTTTGATTTGCCATCACTTCCCCTGTGTGTTCCCACTTGTAACTTTTTGGATCTGCTCCTTCTGATACAGCTGATGTATCATATGAACATGCCTTCCGATCACGAGTCTTTGGTATCTAATACAGGTACATGCCAGACATAAGGGGAGGTATATTTATAAAGATGTGGGAAATGAGGGGGAAGAAATCTATATGTAGAGAAAATATCTCTTCTTTGATGTTGCAAGTCAAGGAAGTAATGTCTAGGAAAAAGAGACCTAGCTCACTGCCCTTTATGAAACCTCTGAAAGTCCATTGCCACAGTGTTAAACAGCTAACAGATTTTTAGTATAATCTTCAGCCCAGAGGAAGTACGGTGATGGAGAGAAAGAATGATAATCACTTCCCCAAGTTTAGGGTGATACTGTCGCTGATTCACTTTTGCCAGGCAAGCTGGTGTGAGAAAGCAAGGGACATCAATGACTCTACAGGGTCAGAGAAGTGTAATCTGATTCATAACTTTTTTTTTAAAATCCAAATTTTGATTCCATCTACATTTTTTCCACTTCTACAGCTTTTCTTTCTTCTGTTCATTAAGGGTTCAAAAGTTTCATATGGCTTCTATTTCTTTTTTCCCCTATTAATTTCCTCTCAGTGAGACTTTGTCTACTAATTCCCTCAATTTCTGAAGTTATATCTTACAGTTATCTTCCTAACTCAGAACAGATTTAGACAGCTAAAGTATGGATAGAACCTTACCTAAAAACGAAAGATGTCATTTATCGTAATTAGAGATAAAGAGTAAGGAAAATTTTTATATATATATATAATATAATTATAAATATAATATATATTATATAATATATTATTATATAATTATATTATATTATATAATAATATAATAATATTAATTATATTATGTAATAATATAATATTATATATTATATATATATACTAAGAAAAGATTGTGTCATGCCTTTGCCAACCTAGTCAAACTATTATAGAGAAAAGTAATATTATTTCCACCATAATGACAATAATAGTATTTTGATGTTAAATGATGGCAGTGGAAATACATATTCCTATAAGCAGATAAATGGCAAGGTATAATATAAATATCATCTGCTAACATAAGAAAATCTTTTTTTAGATTTGTATTTTAATTAAAGAAATCGAAGAAAATGAATGTGTTTAAATAAGGTAAAAGGCATTGACTATTAAGCATACTCATGCTGCTTTGCTGAATCAACACAGCTGCTACTTTTTCTTAACTTCAGTTCTTAATAATAAATGTCAAGAAAACATTTCAAGAAGGAGGAAAGTGGGCACAAATTCAGAGTTTATAGGCAGCGGTGCGAAGGCAAGATGTGGTATGCTAAAACACTTGTCTCTTGCAGTAACAAAGGCACATGCTTTAATGCCTGTAGCTGTTGTCATTTTTGTATTCTAACTGGTAAGCTTAGTGCTTTAGAAGTGTGCATTCTGGTTAGGTACATTACATCCTTCCTTTGGTAATAGGCTGCTGGCAATTTTCACTCTTTTTTTAATTTATTAAGAATTTTTGTTTGTCCAAATATAGTCATTAATCATCAGTAAACAGAGCTAGCTCTGAGTCTCATGGTGCTCAGCTCAAAAACATACATTCCACTGGCAAAGCTTAGGTAATATGTGCAGTGATATAGACAGAGTTGAGAGAGGATGTGGTCCACCACAGTCAAACTGAAGAAACAGCTGCTGTGTATGTAACTCGTGACTTCTGGATATTGAAAGCCTAGTTCAGCACTGTAGTGAGTAGGTGACAGAAGTCCACATCACTGAGAGATATTCTTAGTGGGAGGGGCAGCATTTGATAAGACCTGATGAGACCTGTTTGAAATAAGCTACCTGGGGTGAAATGTCCTAATTTACTAATTTAAAGCCATGTATTCCATTAAGAGAAATACTAAGAGCAATAATGTGGCATACATCAATGGTCTACCAAAGAAATATAGTAACTGACATGAATAAGCTGCTGTGGGTGCTCAGTTATATAGTAGAAAAAAGATTGAGCCAGAAACTCAATATTTCTGCAGAATAAGAAGTGGCTTAGCATATTCCCTTGACTTCAGACTCTAAATTTTATTTATTTTTTTGTGGACAAAATATTTTTCTGCAAATAAAGGCAACTGAGTTACTGATTTATATCCTTGTTAATATTTTGAAACATAATTTCAAACATAAAATATCCTACAATATGCTGATCCAAAGGTTTCCCTCCACCTCTCCTCTGGACAGTGAGTATTTCTCTTCCATGTGCATGTCCAGCCCTACTTCAAAACATTTATCATCTTGGCTTTTTACAGTAAACTGTGGCAACAAGTTTCTGAATTGAATTATGGCTTTTGAGGGAAATGATCTCTTCTGTTTGTTTAAGCCTGTTGGCTGAGCTTCTCATTTCTTAACTTTCCAATCTACTTGGCATCTTATGTTGTTTGTTCTGTAAGTACTGGAAATGCCACTGTGATGGCTGATCACATTTGCATTCTGATGGTGTTTTCTCATCTTTCTTTCCATCACCTCCATTCCTTCCTTCAAATGCAGTACACTTCCTGTTATAAAGTATGAAGCCACCAATAATTATGGAACTTTGAACTTCTTTTCCTATGCAAGTTTCTTTTCAGATTAGTAAAAACTGTGGAATCCAAAGCACATCTGAAATCAAATTCCAAAACATCTATCAGCTCTAAACTCCTTTATATTTTGCCCACTATCATATTTATTACATTTTATTTCTGTTTTGAAGTTATCATAGAAGCCCCTCCCTTTATTTACATAACTCAGTTGTGCACATCTCTCACTCTGGAAGTAAATACTGAGTCTGAAGTAATTTGGAGTCTGTCTGAGGAGGAACTACTTTTTTTCCTTTTCTTTGAAAACTGAAGATGTCAGACCATAGATCTCCTGCTTTGCGAATATTTTCACTGCAAGCCTCTAATAAACCTTGTAGAGTTTTTGGACACCTTTTTCTCATAAGCATGTTTTTAAAAAAAAAAAAATAAAAAAATTCAGTGCATAGTAGAGAGAGGTGGGAAGGACAGAAAAGAATGGGATACATCCATATGGAGCAGCAGGCTCAAAATTAAACTAGTTGTTCTCCATTTTGGTGTCAAGATTCTAGAGACTGAGGTGGCTGGACATTTTCTAAAGTTGCTTTCTTTATGATTCCTGAGATGAAACATCTCATAGAAACAGTGAAGAGACTTTCCTTGCCTGTGGGAAAATCCTACCCTTTGACTGAACAAAGCTTGTGCTTCTGAAAAGAGAATTGAGCAGACTTGTGATGTAATGGAGCAATAATAACCTGTAAAGCTACAATAGAGAGTGTTTTTACTAAAAACTAACTCTACTCCCACAGCAATCAAGGC